CTCTGATCATAAACATCAGAGATGGAGAGAAGCGGGAGAGCGATGCAGCTGAGAAGAAGAAAAAGAAGAAAAAGAAAATGGGGGAAGTGGAAGTGAACAATGCAGCCGTCCAGACTACCGTCAAAACAGAAAGCTCAGATATGAACATCAGTGATGCTCCTGAGAAGACAAAAAATATGAAAAAGAAGAAGAAAAGGGAGGAAGCAGAACAGATACAAGAGGACGTGATCGTCAGTGAGGTTGGAGATCATTTAGTGTCCAAGAAAAAGAAAGCCAAGAAACAAAGGTATGAGGAAGAGGTGGAAGGTATAAAAAAGAAAAAGAAGAAAAAGGAGGTAGAGGTCAAAGAAGAAGAGGCTGATTTAGGACACAGTGTGGAGATGGTGAAAAAGAAGAAAAAGAAGAGAAAAATTGATGATGTGACCGAGCAAGAGCAAAATGCAGATGGACAGATGAAGAAGAAAAGAAAAAAGCAGAAAGAAGCAGATGCATGTGAAGAGGTAGAGAAAAAGGTGAAGAAGAAAAAGAAGAAGAAATCTTCAGCAGAGGAGGAGCCTGATGAGATCAGCTCAAATAAAAAGCCGGGGAAAAAAAGCAAAAAGCTGAAGAAGAAATTAAAAAGCGTGGATGAAGGTGAGAGTCGTCCTCACGCCAACGGAGGACAGGAGAGATCATCAGACAAGAAGATGAAGAAGAAAATCAAGGCGAGGACTGATGAGATCCAGGAGGAACCGGCGGGAAAGAAGGGGAGTAAAGACAGAAACAAAACCCCAGAAAAAATTAAAAAGAAAAAACCTAAAGAGGAGCATCATGATGCCGTCGTGACGCGAGCAAATAAAGCTGTGAGTCTTATTCAGTTTATTCTGCTGGGACAAAACCGAGGATCGTGATTGGCTGTTTACAATATGATGTCACTGTGATGATTGATAATTAACCGGACTTTCAGAGTGGATATTACATATGTTTTTAGTTTTTCAGGGTTTTTTTTATGTTTTTGTATTATTTATATACTTACATAGTGTTTATTAATTTTTTTATTTTAGTTAAAGTTTTGGGAAAAATACACTTTTTTTCCCCATTTTTAAAAAATGTATATCTGTTTATCTTCAGTTTATTTTGATTTCAGTTTTACTTTTCAAATTTTCACATCAGCTTTTTAAGTTTCAGCAGGGTCCAAATCATAAAACTGTCAAGAAAATTTGCAGGTCACGATTCATCCAAAATCAAAATAATAAAAAAACTTACTCACACACTTACTTCTCTGTATCTCATTGTGTTCTCTCTCTGCGCTCAGTCTGATGTTGTGTTCGTGTCAGAAAAGCCTGGAAATCAGGATGAAGTTTCTATAGATCAGGTACAGCACCAGCTGATAAATGATACTTTACCACATACTGTACACCGTAAATAAATCATGTTAAGATGTGTTAAAAAGATTTTTTTATTCCACAGGCCCGCCGACTCGCCCTACAGAGGGACATTGACAAGGAATCGCAGCCGAAGCCGGTCAGTTTCACATCAAAACACTTGCATTTAGTTTATTTTGGTCTTACACTCTTAACAATAAAGGCTTCAGAAGGGAGTTTTTTCAGCAATGCTGTAGAAGAACTGTTCCCCAAAGAACCTTTCAGTTAACAGTTTTAAAAAGAAACATTTTTTTTAAATCTAAAGAAACTTTTATGGAATGGAAAGATTTTAAAGGTTCTTCATGGAACCATCAATGCCAGTACAGAACCTTTACTTGTAAGAGTGTAAGAGCATTGCATGTGTGCTGCATGGATAGCGTAATAATCAGTAATGTGAATGGATTTTGATCTGAATTGTGTTGATCTGTTTGTAGAATCTTGGCCAGTGGGGCACGGCACAGTTCGACAGCTCTGACAGACAAGCCAAGTTCCTGCGCTTGATGGGCGGGTTTAAAAAGAGCAGCCAGCCCCTCACAGGATTCTCTGGCCAGGCTAACATGGCGCTAGGAAAAGAAAGCCAACAGACTTTGCAGCAAGGCCTTCTGGGAGAGTTTGAGCGCGCACAGAGCCGCCATATGGACTTCAGGAATAAAGGAGTCGGATTGGGGTTCGCGGCACCGTCCAATAAAAAGTTTGCGATTGATGCTAATGCAAGGAACTCAGTGCGATTCGATGACTGAGAGTTACAGGATAGTTCACTCACAAGTGAAGGCTCGGTCATCATTTACTCACCCTCACATCGTTTACAAACCCATGTGCTGTAATCACATCAGTCAAGCTCCAAAAAGGACAAAACAACCAATAGCCCATACGAAATCTGTTTGGAATGATGCAAGGGTGAGTAAACGATGACAAAATGTTCATTTCTAGGTGAACTGTTCCTTTAATGTATGAATCAAAGTGGAATTTATTTTTGGAAACTGAGGAGCTCCGAATCACCGACCAACAAAAGTATTTTACTTTTTTATTTTGTAAGTTTCCTTGAAATCTGATTGAATTTCTTTGGGTCCTGAGAGATGTTGTACTCGGGTGAAATATCATGAGATGTATTTGAATTTATCATTGGATTTGCCCAAGAAGTTTACACTAGAAGAAAAGATTACACAACAGCAAATAAAGACACTGGATTAGAGCTGTCCTTGGGTAATCATGATTGATATTGCATTATTGATGTTTTTGAGATTTGAGTTAATTATTTTGTCATTTACATTTATGCATTTAGCAAAGTTTTATCTAGAGTGACCTTGCTTTCAATGTATATACACTAGTGTTCAAAAGCATGGGGTTGCTAAAATTTTATGCTCACCAAGGCTGCATTTATTTGATCAAAAATACAGTATAAATGGTTATATCGTGAAATGTTATTACAGTTAAAATGCCCCTATTATGGATTTTTTAAAATTACCTTTCATGCAGTGTGTAACACAGCTCTAAGTGAATGAAAACATCCTGCAAAGTTTTAAATCTAAAGTGCACCGTGTATAAAGTTACAAGAGAAAGGAAAAATTGAAATCGCATCATATGACCCCTTTAAGCTGTTTCGAGTTGACGTCAACATGAAACATTAGCATATTTAAGCCCGCCCACTTGTTGCGCGCGCAGACCCGGGAAAACTTGAACCTCCCCTTCCTTAAACACCGTAGCGGATTCCTGTGGAGTAGACGCTGTGCTCTGCACTGTGAGAGTACAGTTAGGGTATGTCGAAAAACTCCCAACTCATTTTCTCCTCCAACTTCAAAATCATCCTAAATTGCTCCAGAAGCACCGACCCAGTGTTTACAAAGTGAACGTGCAAGGAGGGTCAAACACCCTTTACAAAAAATAAATAAATAAATAAATAAATAAATTAAAAAAGGTAAAACAACGATGTAGGACGATTTTGAAGTTGGTGGAGAAAAGTGTTGGGAGTCTTTAGACATACCCTGTCTTAAA